GGGTCTAGAGAGCAAGTCTTATGAGGAGCAGCTGAGGGAACCAGCATTGTTTAGCTTGGAGAAGAGGAGGCTGAGGGGAGACCTTATCGCTCTCTACAACTACCTGAAAGGAGGTTGTAGTGAGGTGGGTGTTGGTCTCTTCTCCCAAGTAGTTAGTGATAGGACAAGAGGAAATGGGCTCAAGCTGCGCCAGGGGAGGTTTAGGTTGGATATTAGGAAAAATTTCTTCACAGAAAGGGTAGTCAAGCATTGGAACAGGCTGCCCAGAGAGGTGGTGGAGTCACCATCCTTGGAAGTGTTCAAAAAATGGGTAGATGTGGCACTTCGGGACATGGCTTAGTCTAGTCTGCCCTTAATTGGTTTAGTGTGGACTTGGTAATGTTAGGTTAATGGTTGGACTGGATGATCTTAAAGGTCTTTTCCAACCTAAACGATTCTATGATTCTATGATTCTAATTGTTATTACACTTTTGCTTTCTGTTGAGTAGACTTTGAAGAAGGGTGCAACAGACTACGAGAAGAGTGAATTCTTGAAGGAGGCGCACTTAATGAGGTAGGGACAGCTTTGCCGCTGGGTGCCCTTTGAAGCCAGTATCATGTGAGGATGGTGGCCTTCAAGAAGAATGAAAGCAACACTTTCCTCTAAACAAATTACTGTGACATTTTTGGGGTGTTCTCCTGTTTCTACTAAAAAATAATTCACAACTGATGAATCTTATGAAAATAAAGCTATAAAACTGATTAGCAAAATTTAAGATACAGACTGCAAGTTTGGTATGCTCATATCATGGATTTATTGGGGTTTGGACTGATGTATTTCAGTATCTTTGTTCCCCTAAAAGTAAGTAAGTTGCTAAAGGCAATTGGGCAACATTAGGTTAATCCCATTTTACCAAAATAAACATATCAAAACAAGCTGATGCCTTGAAGTTTCAATTTACTGTCAAAATTGTTTTTTAAAAATGTGCATACTTACCACTAGAGGCTGCCACACACCTCTTCTATTGAGGTAGACTTAAAAAAAAATAATGCACGTCACCAGTGTGAGAGTTTCATACAGAAGGGTCTGTGTGTCAGCTAGAAATCTGGTTTTCCAGAGTCTCCACAGAAACAAGTAGAAGTTTAGCTGAAGTTTTCAGGTGGTAACATAAGACTGAGAGTGTGGTTTAGATTTCGGGTGCACTTCTGGACTTATCTGACTTTTATTTCATGAGCACAGAATTAGAAACATCTTCTGAAAAATGAAGGATTTTATATCCTGTACAGAAAACATAATGTTATTAAATTTGAAATTGGTTTTCACAGCATTCTTTTTTGTGTTTACATATTTTTAAAAGAATAGCTTGCATTTTTTGCCTTTTTCCACACACTGTGTATTGAATGAGCTAAGAGGCTTGTGAAAACCAAAATGGAACCATGTCATTAAAGTGTAAATTCATGACAAAGAGTAAGTGTTGTGTGTGAACTTCCTACAATCTATCTCTAGTCTACCTGGCAGTCATAAACCCAGTCAAGGTCTCTTTTCTGTGTGGCATGGAAATTACATATGCCCATAGTTAAAGTCTCTGAAGCTTCCCCAATTCTGCTTTCTTTTTTCAGCTAATAATTCAAAACCAGAAATCCTGGAAAAATATATAATTGCAAATGATTACCTTTAAATATAAACATTGATGTGGGCCCATATGTACACCAATACAACGAAACATAGAAACAAAGAGAATACAGAAGTTTAAATATTATATATTCTCAGTAGTCACTAAACAACAATTAAAAAATTGGTATGTTTTATATGTTTTAAATCTTTCATTTTTTAATGTGAAAAAAAGAATGATTTAGTTCCCCTGTGGAGGGCTTAATGATTTTTCTTGGTGTTCATCTGTAAGGTCTGATAAATGAAACCGAGGGCAGAAAGGGAAAATAAGTGGACCTGATTGTTTACAAACCTTGATGTTAGACATTTAAATGCAGCTTTTATTTTGCTTGCCTTTTTGGATGTTTATTAAAATTTGGATTATAGTGTTATGCATACTGTCCCAGTAGAGCAAAGACTATTTGTTTCTTCTATTATTGCTATGCAGCAGTGGGAAAATTGAGTTACTTGTATTTCAAAAAGTCATTTGACTTTTGGTTATTGGTGAGTCATTTGTGTACAAATATATGTAGCAAATTCTTGGGTGTATCCCATCACTTAGGGAAGTAAGGAATGACAGCTCAGTGGAGAAAGGGCCATGTGAGCTGCAAGGAAAGTGCCAGATGCTCCTTCCCCTCTTTTTGTTCTTGAGAGTGCCAAAGTTTGTCTGATTGAGAGGTATGTGCTGGGGGCTGGGGGGAACTGTCAAACTCCAAATCACACTCTTAGCTAGAGTCTTTGCCCACACCTAAGATTATGTGAATTGAAAGAGGTTAGAAGGAAAATGTCCCTCTGGTTTATTTGTTTGTTTATGCTGGTGCATTTGACAGCACTTTGGACACCACCAGTTTCCCCAATAGAGTCAAGTTTCTCTGACTGCTGGTGCAAGTCCTTTCACACAGCAGTGCAAAGGGAAAACCATTTTCTAACACAAGAAATTGATTGCAAAAGCACAGGCACTGACAGAGGCAATAAATATTCTTCATTTTTTGAGAAGTTCTAGATCTGAGAGTACTGATTGGTCTGTGGTAATCCCTATCTTTTTGGATGCACACAGGCAATTACAAGCATATCTGCAAGTATTCTTTGTGCATATTTTGTTTCTCTTGAAAATGTACTGTGAGAAACAGTTGTCCTCTGAATTATGAAAATAATACATTGCACCTTGTGCTTTTACCCTTCTCTGTCCATTTCTCTGAATCAGCAGTTCTACTGTGAATATAGTAGTAAAAGTACTCTATTAAAATAATATAGATACCTTTAATGTACAGGTGGCAATTCATGTTATTCTTAGATGAGATAGCCACTTGGCTACCTTTCTTTGCTTCCTAGAAATATGATGAAGTGTGCTTTTGACATGCAGGCATGCGCTAGAGTGCCTGTCAAAGTACAGTGTAAGCCTGTGTTTTGAAAGGATGTCCCTGAACTCTCCCCATGACTGAGCAAATCCAGGCACTGTGAGTTACTAAATCATGTTGTTGGTAGAGGCAGGATTGTAAAGGCTGAACTGCTCATTCATTGCTTGCAGCTATATGCACTTTACTAGCTATCAACCAGCTGGATTTCTCATATGTAATCTTACAGTAATTTCCTTCTCTTTAGTAAATTTGATCACCCCCACATTCTGAAGTTACTTGGTGTGTGCCTGTTAAATGAACCTCAGTACCTTATACTGGAACTGATGGAAGGAGGGGATCTACTTAGCTATTTACGAGGAGCCAGAAAGCAAAAGGTAGGGTAAAGACCATTAGACTCATATTTTTAACCTGTAATGCCCACAGTTTCTCAGTTTTTCCCTTCCTCCAAAGGTCATGCTGATATCCAGCTGTTTCTGTACCTGTACCTGTGCCTGTATCTTCAAATTCTTTAGAAGGAAAGAGGAGAAAAGAATAAAGAATAAATGTCTTTAATTATTTTTTTTCCATAGTTAGAAAGCAGATTAAGAATATGGGTGGTAGGATTGTAGGTCAAGAGGACTCGACACTGAAATTTTATAGCTTTATAACAATTGTCTAGTTCATTTACATGATCAGATCAAATCCAAAGTCAGTATTGAATTCTACTGAAATGTATATACATGTATTCTACTAGAATAATATATTATACTGATTAATACAGCAGCAAACAAACCTGATCTGATAGTGGAAGGAAATTTTCAGGGTCCCATTTCTTCCACTATAGTAAAGAAATATTTCTGAAGGTCCTGGGATATTCTTAGCCCCAAATCAAAGAACAGGATGTGTTCACCTGCTTTGCAGTGCAGTGATTTGGCAGTTTACCCTGCTGGTAAATAGCACTTGCTCTACTGACATACACAGATTTGTGCTTTGCATGCTTTGGAAAAATCCTATACATTTCAAATGAGGAAACAATACCATCTTTGCATAGGGAGGTTGTCATTCTAAGTTTGTAAAGCTGGAAGACATGGCTAACTTCTGGTTTTGTTTCTTGTAGCTCCAGAGTCCCTTACTGACAGTGACTGACCTCTTGGATATATGTTTGGATATTTGCAAAGGCTGTGCCTATTTAGAGAAAATGCATTTTATACACAGGTACAGAACTCATTTCCTCAGTCTTCCAAGGTTTACACACAATATTGGGACTAATTATCTTACCTGGGAAAAAATGCCTAGAATGATGTCACAATGTAACAGTGAAGGTGAGGGCACTGGAGTAAAATTTAATGTTACGCTTTTCTGCAAAAAATCACCTACAGTTCTCTCACAAAATGGTGGGCTACTCTAAGATCTGAATCCAGGACACAATGCACCCTGGGCAAGAATCATATCCCATGCAACAACGAGAAGGGCAAGTGGGGAGATCCATTTAGTGTCTTCATCTGCCTAATTGGTAGCTATAAAGGACGCAGAGCCAGACTTTTCTCAGAGGTGCACAGGGAAAAGATGAGAAGCGATAGGCACAAGTTACAGCAAGTGAAATCAGGTAATATTGTCACAACATGCAGGATAAATCACTGGAACAGGCTGTCCAGAGGGGCTGTGTCATCTCTGGTCTTGAAGATATGCAAAACTTAACTGAGTGAGGCCCTAAGCTGCTTGATCCAACCTCAAGGTTGGCACTGTTCTGAAGAGGGGATTGAACCAGGTGACCTCCGGAGGTCCCTTCTAACCTGAGTTATTCTGCAATGCTAACTCCATCCTCTTGTTTCTGCCTTACAAATCAGGGACCTGGCTGCTCGCAACTGCCTTGTGTCCGTGAAGGAATATGACAGCTCTTCCCGAGTAGTAAAGATTGGTGACTTTGGACTTGCCAGAGATATCTATAAAAATGATTATTACAGGAAAAGAGGAGAAGGCTTACTCCCTGTCAGATGGATGGCTCCTGAAAGCCTCATTGATGGTGTCTTTACAAATCGCTCTGATGTCTGGTGAGTTATAGTTGCCACACAGCTGTGTGAATAATCATACTAAATCCCACAGCAAGAAAATATTGGTTTACAGGAACAATGATAAGATTGTCTATTGCATCTCTAATAATTATTAGGCTAAGGCAGATTTCCTCCTAATATTTTCATGACCTAATTAAAAGTTTGGCACCACGACAGTATCTGCATGGATATATTTCTTAATGCTTTGAGCTCTAGCTTTGGATTCTGGCTGGAAAGAACTAGTGTCACTCAATCAAACAACTTTGTACTAGGCCCACAATGTGATTTTTGCTTGATTGGGCAGTGAATTGACTGCTTGCATCCTGTTCCATTTTGTTTTCCATTAGGTTAATTGGTATTTCCTTCCTACATACAAATACTTTCCCCTTATCATTTCACCCTCTTCTGGTGACTTCTTTATTTTGAAGCCTAAATTTCTCAGCATCATCAGGGGAAGGTCATAGTACTTTGCTGTGGAGAATTACTTAAAAGTATGTATATGGGTGAGTTTGAGTTTATGGTGAAGAAACAGAGACCCACTGTCAGGCAGCATGGAGAAAAACAAACCAAACCAGATCCATTAAATCCAAGATTCACACAAGTTTAGGTTTTGGTAGCCATGGGTATTCATGGTGGGCTACAGCCCACCAATCTTGTCCAAGTCCTCAGCCCCAGCAGCCCATCCACTTGAGTGACACTCTTACCTTTATCTAAGCAAGCTGTTTAGTGCTCTGTGCCAAACCAAATGGGGTGCTGATTGCTTTGTGAGTGGTGCTTAGGAGAACTTGTCTCTCTTCATTTCCAAGGACACCTCTAGAGATTTCTAAACATTTGTTTAAGTGAGGACACGCTCAACCAGAGAGCGGTGCCCAGGGAAGCTGTGGGCACTCAATGTCTTCTAAGCTGCATCACAGTAAGTCTGGGAAAGCGGATCAGTTCTACACATTTATTTTAGCTATTCCAGAAGCTGGCTTAAGGATGTATGAATTGTTTCACAAAAAAAATTAGACCTTCTCACTCCTGAGTTTTGTAACTGAATCTTATTCCTAGGTTAGAGACATTTTAACTATTGATAGGGAGATTGTTCATGATCACTATGGTAATTAAGCTTTTTTGTTGGTGTTTCTTAGGGCTTTTGGAGTCTTAGTGTGGGAAACATTAACTTTGGGTCAACAGCCATATCCAGGTTTCTCCAATACTGAAGTTTTACACCATGTACGATCAGGAGGAAGACTGGAATCTCCAAACAATTGCCCTGATGACCTGTAAGTTAATTTGTTTAAATATTGTTGATAATATTTATAAGAAGCAAGAACTTATTGCCGGGTGATCATCATTTTGAATACTACTTATGCCCTTGCAGAGTTCAACATCCTCCATGTTTCTTTTCAGATAAAACAGCTAGCACTTGTAGCTGCCAGCCTACTACTAATCATCCAGTAGTGCAACTTGTGAGTAAGAACTTAAGTGTCAAAGTTGAAAGGTGGATATTGATCTTTTAAATGGGATTTCAGAGATAATATAAAGTCAGTCTTGGGCATGAATCTTGTAGTAATGTGATAACAGGCTGAGAGTACCTGATGGTATTGGTTAAAAGTTAAGGTGGCTTTAAGAAACAATTTACTGGTCCCTGTATACCATGTGCCTGTGATAGCAGATATAACAGGCTTCCTCATTGGTAGCTGCAGGAATTAGGCTAATATTAGAACATATGTGGAAAATAAACCGTGCTCTCTTTGCAGATATAACTCCTACAAAAAACAGTAAGAAAAGCTGAAGCAGTACAGGAAAAGGGAAGTCTGCACTTCTGGTTAGTCTTTAGTTGAGCTGGATAAAAAAAGTTTTCAATTTCCAGTTTCCTCTTGAGCACAAAATTCAGGTTTAATTGCAAAATTCTTGCAAGTAAAAGAAAAAAATGAATACATACAGTGGATCAAACCCATACTGGCCAGAGGTGTATAAGGGAGGAAGTTGAACCTGAGCCCAGCTATCACTCAGTATTGTCTAATTTCATGTCTCAATTCCTATATCATCCACTCTGCACAGGCAGTCACAGGAATGCACTTGACAGCTGGTGCTACAAATGGAAGGAGAGGCTACTTAAAGTGCACAATTCTTACTCCCGGGGCTGAGGAAATGTCTTGAGAATAATTCTGTGATTGGCAAGCCCAGATCTCTGTGATAGGTCTCACATCAATTACCATTCTCTGAGTTCCAGAGAGGGTGATTATTTATTGTTATGTAGGTATAGCTGAAATACAATATTAGCAATAAAAAAAAAGGTAAGCTTTAGCACTTGGAGGAACTGAAGAACTGAAGAGATTAGGATTTTGTTTTAAGAACAGAGAGAAAACTGGAAGTCACAGAACACATGAGCCCAAAGCAACTTCAGTTTCAGTATTTTCTGCTGAAAAAGGTTTCTTAAAAAAATTCCTGACAGCTGTCCTGCACATGAAAAAGCATAGGAGGTAATGTATATCCATGCACTAGTTTGATATTCAAGCTCACACAAAGGCTCATAAGTTGCCTTTCAAATGAGTGACCAGATCTTCAGAAGAATCAGGAAAACTTTGCTTGAAGTAATTTCTAAGGTCCCAGATCTTAAATTTAGCATAGCAGGTAGGGTTTAAACGCCGGTCTGCCTGTTGTAACTTGTAGGATCAGGGCCTAATAGCAGGGCCTAATAGCAGTAATACTAGTTTTTGAAAGCTGAGGGGCTGAATGGGCTCTTAGACCCTTGCACCATCTTTTATCTCATTTGGTGAACACTCAGCACCTGCATACAGCTTCTGTCAGTAGCGTAAATAGCTTTTTGATACTTTGCTAGGTCATTAATGGCATGCTGGGATTCTTGACATTCCTGCTTCCCTTCTTGTGGTTTTGAACCTGCATCGGGACATCAGCAGTCAGTAATTGTCTCCTCAGCACTTTGGCTTGCTCATTGTCATTTAACAAAACAAACCATCACTGATAGGAAGAGAGTTCAAAGGCCAAACTACTTCAGCTGAGAAGTGTTTAGGAATCCGTGGTAGGCTTACACTGCAGGGGCAAGTACGGCTGACACAGAAACCTTGGGGTGTAAAAGCACTAAGGAAGTGGGATTGGGGTTTTTTTTGGCACGGGGGAGAAATTCTCCCCCTCACCTCCACGAGATGTTACTCCAGGGAGTAATCATCTGCTTTCCCCCAAAGAAGCGTGGATAGATAGAGCTTGGTAATGAATTGGAAAAGGGGCTTGGGGATCTATAAATGGACCACATTTATTGAAATATGAATTAGATGTATGAAGGGAACTACTTTTGCAGTCAGAGATCTACATCTGGCACAGCTACCTGGGTGTGAGGCTTGCATGCTGAAGTTTGGACTGAATTGAGCTCATTTAACATAGATCCTTGAGCATCTGTGGATTGCAGTCAGGAGAATTTGTACAAGCATGGTGCCACTTGCTGCCTTGAAGCTGCGGTTTCACCAAATGTTCACTCCCATACAAAGTTATACAACTGAGTTTGATGAAGCTGAGTTTGGTAACTAAGAGCTTTTGCTATTTGATTCTGGGAACACCGCCTGGGAGGTATTTGGAGGGTGGGAGAGAAGGGCTTGCTCAGAATGTATCAGATGAAAGCAGGGACTCTTCCTCATCCCAACAATTTTTCTCCTTTGCTAAGAAAATCCCCACATCAATTATATTTTCCATCTTGTGTGAGAGAAAATTGGTAATGTCCTGTAGCTTCTGTACACTAAAGTACATTTCAGGAATTGTTCACTTTCTGCCTCCAATATTAGATAATGAATATTAGTTCTTTGGTTTTCCAGGCTCTCAAATTCTTATTTGTCCCACGTATGCAGGTTTATTGAACAAATGGTTACCAGTTATCCCACTTGGATAAAACACAGTTGTGAAATGTAGGTGTGTAGGTGTACACTAGGTGTACAGGCTGGCTCTTAAACCTAACATAAACTTTTAGCTGATGTTGTGTTTGGATCTGTTATTTTTCATTTTTTCCTGAAAGGCTTTCCCCACGAAGTGGGGGAGTCCTCTGAGTATCTTCCTCATACTGAAGTGAAGCCCATGTTTGGCTCCCAAGAAAATATAGGGATGTGCTCAAGCTGTCATTCATGTACATCTTGGCATATTAATCTGGCTTTCACCCTCTCGACTGTCTCGCACTGATGCATTTCTGGGCTAGTGAAAGTTTATGCCATGTGACTTAAAACTTTGGATGTCACAATATACCTTGAACACTAAATATCATTCCACAAATAGCTGTCTGTGCAAAATTTGCAGATATATTCTGATACAGCATGAAAGTTTTTGTCATTAGAAACCTAAAACCTATCTGAATTAAATACTTTGTGAAGAAATATGAGTTCTATCTGGTCTTAATATTTTAAGCCAACCAGCAAGTAATTTGATTTAGGAAATAAGAATATGGAATATAATTAAAATCAGAAAATTGCAGTTCTGAATGTTTTAGCAGCAATGAATATCCCCACTCAATAACAAAACTGAACAACTTTATAAAGCAAATTATCCAATAAAGAAGTAGTTATTTAGAAAGACAGTGATTGGTCTTAGGAATACAAAAATATTCAGAATCCACATTTGTCATGTTCTTGTTTCATAAATGAAAAGAGGGTAGATTTAGATTGTATATAAGGGAGACTTTTTTTACAGTGAGGGTGGTGAGACAGTAGAACAGATTGCCCAGAGATGTTGTGGATGCCTCCTCCCTGGAAGTGTTCAAAGAGAGGTTGGATGGGGCTTTGAGCAACCTGATCTAGTGAAAGATGTCTCTGCCCATGGCAGGGGGGTTGAACTAGATGATCCTTGAAGGTCCTTTCCAACACAAACCATTCTATGACTTTATGACTTATGTATAATTTCCTGTTTATTTCTTCCTCTGTTGGTCTAGGGCTGTCTGTTTCTTCCTTTCCGTTAGAGGAGCAGTGTACTCAATAAGCTTTTTTACTTCGTTGCTACATCTTGCACAAGGCTCTGCTCATGAGAGCCCAAGAGCTAACCTGGCAGGGCACAGCACCTGAACTCATGATTTTTTCTTGAATATCCTACCAGCCAGCACGACCAGAAAGCAGATTTTTTGGCTTCCAGCTGCCAAAGCTGGCTTTCGAATTCAATGTGACAGACACTTTGTTGGCAGCAGAAGGAAAACCAGAGTTATTTCACCTCATTTTTGAGTCCCATTCAGTACTTTTCCATCTATATTTCCAGTGTTATCAATAACCAGTACACCTGAAGGTAAGTGAGGAGATGAAGTGATTCAGAACGTTAGGAAGTCAGTACCACTTTTTAGGTTCTTAAAATGGATTTTCATGATTTCACTGGATCCTTTTGAAAAAACAGAATCATTCTGTCCAGCTCCACAACCACATGATACAGGCCAGTGAAAAGTGGTTCTGAAACAATTTTTCTACTCACACTTCTCACCCAATCCCAATATTTTAATGAAAAGTATCACTGAAAAATCAGAAGTCAAGAGATTTCTCCCGCCTGTCACCAAGGGTTTTGTAAAATATCCATTTGTGGTGAAGGACAGCAGTCTCCTTTTTAAGATAGATAAGGAAGGATCTGAGCAATCCAATTCATTTCACGTAACTCAGTAACGCCTGGTATCACATAGCAGCAGGTCTGGGAGGCTGTTTGTCAGGGGAGGATTTGAACTTAGGGCTTAGAGGTGAACACTCCACATTCCAGTAGCAGCTTCCTGAACTGGCCTTTCACTGGCTGCTCAAACTCTGCTCTCCGGTTTTGAGACCCTAAAATCCCCCTCCACTCCCAACACTTCGCATATCCAGGTGCTGGCTACATTTTGGTTTTCAGCTTGGCTCCCCCTGGCTTTTGTAGGATTTGGTTTTGTGTAGCCTGGACTCACCTCAAGTAAGAAATATAAATCAGCCCTATTCTTTAGACAAGCAGGAGGGGCAGTTTTCCACTGAATGGTACAGATAGTGTTGTGCAAGGTAGGCTAGGATCCTTGCACCCGGAGAAAACTCATACCATTTTTGCCTTTGATGGGAAACTTTACTCCTGTTTGTTTTGGTCTGGAGGCAGAAGTCTAAATCAACCCCCTCTGTGCTGGAGTGTTTGCCTTGAACTTCCCCTAAATTTGAGGTAGCATGATTTGAAGGATTAAATAAGCTAATAACTTCAGGTTCATTTCTGGTTTTAGACATCTTTTTTTTTTTTTTCTGTGAGAGAATTACTTCCTTGACTGCTTTCTTAGAAAATATCGGTGAAAGCAGATTTTAATGACAAATGTGTCTGTCTTTTTTTTTTTTTTAATGTTATAGCTGCTCCCAATCTCAAAAATATCCATCTTTGAACAATTAAAAGTGTTCATAGTGAGTATTCCTGACAACTGATCTTTAACATGCTTTTCCTTCTCTCAGCAGCTGATGATAATCTTTGCACCACAAATAAAGTTTTCAGAAGTTGAAATCTAGGCCAAGCTTGCTTCTCAGATGATTTAATTCTAAGTGTCAAGATGAATTATTCTATTACCTTTAATTTTTGCATTTTAACAATTTTTTTTTCCAGATTTGATTTAATGACAAGATGCTGGGCCCAAGAACCTCACAACAGACCTACTTTCTCTTACATTCAGGACAAACTGCAAGAGATAAGACACTCTCCACTGTCCTTCATCCACTACCTTGAAGACAAAGAGGCAGCAACTGGAGTCATCAACCAAGCTTTTGAAGGTGAGTGTGAGCCAGCACCTGCTGTCCCCATGACCTCTTCCCCATGAAAATAAGTGTGATTCAATGGGTTTCTTTTCATTGTATTTGTCACTGCCTCAAATACTCTGCCTATAAAATGGGAACAGCAAAGATGTAACTTTCTCATAACAAACTTGTAAAGATTCATTAGGTGCCATCAGGTACGATGCATTAGGTAAAGCACATATAAGATTACCAAGCAAAAAGACCCCTATGCAGTTGCAACTGAGTCTGCCTCACAGAGACATCCAGCTTGCATCCAAATTTTTGATACTTTATGACCCTGTTCCGCTAAAGTAAATGCTTAAGTTCCTTGTACAGCCAGGAGAGCTTTAGAAGGCTTCTGAGTGGAAATCTGTTCCAATTTCAAAGGCATCTACTCCTTCTCCATCAGCTAAACATGGCAGTTAGGCACTTATTTTAGGAGTACTAATTCAGTAGTTGCCTGAAAGTGAGGCATGAATTAGGTACCTAAGTAAGGCAGACTTTATCCTAGCCCAGACTCTGATAGCTCCAGCCAGGAGTCACATCATGCTTGTGCTCTGCACACTGTGAATGAATAAAACAAATTGATGCTAGGGAAGATATACTTAAGACATGGGACACAACAAAGCCCAATTATATAAGAACATTATTAAGGTTGTGAAGACAGTAAATTAAAAAAAAATTTAAAATAATTAAAAAAAATTATCTGTGCAACTGTGATTCAAATCATCTAAACATGGAAATGAACATCCTGACTGGGCCAGAACAAGAAGCTTTTCATGTCCTGCAGTAATTCCTGACTGGCTAAATATTGAGGAAAATGTGAAGTCTTAGTAAACAATGTGTTCTGAAAATCTGCAAAAAGGAAGTTTTTATCAGTTGAAATATTTCATTTGTATTTCACAGGGTGGGTTTGTTTGTTCTTTCTTTTTAAATCAACCTGTTTGCATTCTGTGGTTTTCTGATGAAGAATATTTCCTGTTAAAAGAGTTACTTTCTATTATAAAAAAGCAAAACCTAGTTGTTTCTAAAATATCTAAAGGTTTTGTTTTGGTTTAGGGTTTGTTTTTTTTTTTCCTTCACAAAATGTTGTTGAACTAGGAACTCACCCTGCTTCGTAAACAGTTTTGATACATCAGTATTTTGTGATTTCCTAAAAACTTCCTGATCCATTCCAGGAGTCACATAGTACTCAATTACACAACTACGTAGTCATTTTTCTACAGGATTCTACCTAAATTCAATTCACTGGCATTGTCCAATGTTCAGTTAATGATAGTTTATTTGATATTTTGCTACTCTTTATCATTCGGTGTAGCTTTACAAATGTCAGTTTATCCCCATCATGATTTCTTTATATATCAGATTCAGTCTGTGCATGACATGTTTATGTCATTACAAGAGTAAAGACTTTATCAAGACATAATGGGACCAAAGTAAGCCAGCACTGATAACTTATCATTTCATGCTTTTTTAACAGCTGATTTTGCACCCTTATGCTATAATGAAAATCTTTGTGTATTTGCATGTAATGTAATTTTCTAGTTTCTTGAAGGGCATCTTCACTCTGAATAGTGGAGTTCAGGAAAGAGATACTTAATCTGGCACAAATCTAAGCCTGGCATTAGCTCAGGAAAGGATTGCAGCCAATTAATTAGGCACTATGCCCAAGCTAATAGGCCTGACATTTTGGTTGGGCTTTATCTCACCTAAATGCAGCTGTCTAGAAGCTAGGAGTCTCATCCAAGATACTCTTCTAGATATCTCTGTAGTCAGGAGCAGAAACAGACATCTTCAGAGACTGACAACTCCTGTGTTTTAGGCATTTATCATAGCATGAAAGATGTCACATTTTGCCTTTCTCTCCACTGATGATGTCTGGAATCTAAGTGACTTGCCATATTCCACCTGGATACAGCATCTTCAGACCAGATGTTTAATTTTCAGGTGGCTACAGCAACGCAACATCCACTAGACACAGGGCCATGCTGGTTTGACTGCTTGCATCTACTCCTGAGCTAGTGTGGTTTCCTGACTTAGACATCTTTGCTCTGTGTTTCCTAACTCCACAGGCAAGAGAGACATGAAAACTAAGGGAGTTAAGAAATTCTTGTGGCATGACATCAATATCTGTTAAAATCTTCAGCAGGGCTGAAACTTTTTGATATGATCCTGCCCTTCTGCTGCTTGGAGTTGGGGAAAGAGGCTGGAATATGTTGTTGTCCTTTTGGTGGAGCACGCCTGGCACAGATGTAACATGCAAGGATTTTAGTTTCAGTGCAAGTCTCTGCTTTATCATGTGCCACCTAAGCATGATCTTCCCCCTGCTGTTAACTTGCTCAATCTAGGCAAATCATTACTTTCACTGGCATGACAAATACATACTCTTTATGTAAAAAACATTATTTTGCTAAAATTTCAGGGTCTGCCACACAGCAGAGTTGACAGCGAAAAAGCCATTGCTTTATTTGTTTGCCAGGGACACAAGTAGCATTCTTAGAAATGGCCAAGTTATTGAAAAGGAAAATATGGATTGAGGCTTCCATGAAAAGTTTCAGTTTGAATGGTTAAAATTTGAAAAAACAGTTTACTACAGAAAATGTGGTTGTATAATGGACTTTTAGGGTAGTCTTTAATAATAGTGATACTCCATAATGTACACTATATTCAGGGAACTTGGTGGTGGTGGTCACTTTTTAAATCAGACTCCATTAAGCCTGTTTATAATAACCTAGTTTGTAAAATCTGGCCCACTATGGTAAGCAGGGCAATTCAATGCAGGCAGAGCTTTGGCAATAGCTCTCAGAGCCAGCCTGTTTTGCTCGGGACACTCTCTCCCTGACCCTTACCTTTTTCCCCACCAGATACCCTGTTCCCAAGTGTGGCTTCCCCCCATTCTTCCCTTTCCATAGGCTCTGCCCAGCTGTTGTTGCCACAGACCCACTGCTCTGCTGGATCTGCATTGGGATGGGAAGACAAAGCAACTGTTTTCATGCTTCCATTCAATGTTTTTATGCTTCAGTTCTCAAAACTCCTCCTTAACTTCTCCTCAGGCTCATTTAGTGATTTTCATACAGGGAAGGCCCATCAGGAAACAGTATAGCTTGAATTTTATTCATCTACGTATCATCCTTTTATTTAAATGTATTTTAAAAGACTAAACACTTGATAAGCTCTTTACATGTCTCTATAATGCACATACTTATTTCCCCACATAGTCATACTTCGTCTGTAGGTTATCTCCATCTTTCCCCAAGTACAGTCTTAATAAACCTGTTAAAATGTTATGCTGCATACTTGACTACAGGCCTAGAGTCCTGGTGATATCTTAATGTTGCTGAATTATCTGATCAGGGACACATCCATGTCAGTTTTCTGTAGCTCTCCAACCTTAAATTAATTCAACTGTTTTTTCTGCCTGCGATGTAACTCTTGTGCAGTGGAGTTCAGTGAAAGGTGGGCTCCAGAAGTGCGACTGATTTAAGCAAGAACCATCAATTCAGGTTCTAGTTGAGCTTCCAAACTAAAAGGCATGCTCCATTATGACCCTATCATAAACAGTTTGGGGCGTGGAATATGTTTCAGTCTGTAATTTGTAAAACACTGTAAAATAAGTAAGTGATTTTTAAAATTTGCATTAATTTTTAGCTGGGACTAAGTGAAGTACTTCTTGTGTTTATCGTAGAGTAGAAAGATGACAGCCAAAACAAATAATCCAAAAGACTGTTCCATGGTGGATTGCCCTGGGCAACATTTTCCAAAAATGTTGCACGGTCATTGGCCTTTGTGTGTAATGAAACTCCTGTCATGATCCTACCGCCAAGAAATGCTTGCTCTCACCAGGAGACATGGTTCCAAAAGAAAGAGCCAAATGTCAAGCAAAGTGAAACGACAGGCCTCAAAATAACTATGATACTTAGCCCTAGATGGAATCATACATCTTCCAAATTCTGTCGAGCCTTACCTACTCGTGGGTAGCCACACTTTTAGCAGGTCCGTACATGCTGTCAGTGCTATTTCACAGGTGAAAGAGTTGGAAAACATTAGGTTTTCTCAACAACATTAATGCCGGTGCAATATGACACACAGATTGCAAGTGCGGGTGAACTAATACAGACAGTATGTTAGTAGTCTGGACAGCACGCTGACAGGATAGTGTGGGGATGACAAAAGGGACACTGGCTTTGTTATTGCAAGGGTTACCCTTCTAAAGAAGGCATCAAGTGGCAATAAATATGCCTGAGCAATACCAGCAGCTCCTGGCACTGCTGCTTTGGAAGGGAGGGAAGCAAACTCAGGACCAGGAATGGGTCTACCAGTTTAGAGTTTTTCCTTCTTGCTCTTACAGGCTTTCCAGGACATTGATCATGGGCATTAAGTAGCATTAACAACATTTTTTTGAGTGAGGGAAGCATTATCCAGCTGGAGGACTGAGACACCAGTGGGTTTTGAATCCAATGGGAATTGATTGAGCCGAGGCCCCATCACCAGAGTCCCCCATTCATTGCTGAAAGATAGGCTGTTCATCCCCCAGTTTCAAGAAGTGTAAATGAAATGTTATGAATCAGTGTGCTAACAGGATGGCCCTGCATTGCTGTAAAAATAACCAGTCCATCTATTTTCAGACATAACGTTTTACATTTGTACATACAAGACAGGACTATATTTTTTCAGGTCCCAAGTGTTCCCCTTTACGGATGGAAACACCTGTTTGTTTTGGCAAACATCTTTGCCGACATCAGACAACTGGGCGTTAAGCAGCTGGAGCGGCTCCTTGCCTTTATGACCCAGGAGGACTATTCTTATCAGTGCTGCTCCCCACAATCCCTTTTGGACCTATAAGGAAAAAATGTCTAATTGCTCAGAAGCTGTGTCACAGCACCACACTCCTGTGGTGCAGAAGTGTCTCCTCTGGCAAGAGGAGGGGCAGGGCAGTTGGAAGGAGCCTGAGGAAATCCAGGGCAAAAGACTAAAGAGAAACACATTTGGCCTCAAAA